ACACACACACACACACACACAAATATCACCCACCTATCTCCAGGGAAGCAGCCTTTGACTGTTCAAACCTGGGAGAACCAAAGGGTTTTATTTGTGGAAATTGGGGCATCCGGTGCTGTCTACTTAGGGAAGTAGAATCTCTTTAAACCACCCACCAACTCCTCCATGCACCACACAGATTAATCAAGTCTTGGAGAAAGTATTGATCTTCCATATTATAGGTACTCTTCCACGGTCAGGGCAGGTCTTCTTCTGATGTGGTCCGTTTGGTGCTGCAGAAACGATCTGAATCTTCCTGAAGCGTCTCTTCTCTATTCCCATATCTGTGGCCTCACACTATCCTGCCAGGTGGAGGCTGTGGGTCCTATTTTACAGTCGGGGGCACAGAGAAACACAGAGGTTAAGAACTAGCCTGAGGTCACACAGCTCGTAGGTGGCCACAGGAAGACTAGAACCTCCACTTCTGTCCACTAGGCCCTACAGGAAACGTCCTCTGTCTTTTTGCTGGCTGCTGGGTTCTATGTCCCAGCATGTCCCCCGATACCAGCTGGCATGTCATGTTGCACAGGATTCCTGGAGGAAGGAGGCAACCGGTAGTGACATTTGACAGGAAAAAAAAAAAAACATCAGTGTACGGGCTGCCCTTGACATATTTAAGGTACCCGGGGGACCCCGACCTTCCTTAGGTACCCAGGGTTCAATGAGTATCAGGAGTCACGACTTGGTAAAATGAAGTGTGAGTTGTTTGCTCGTGCATGCAGTGAGCATGGATTGAGGACTACTTGGGGCCCCGCCTAGGTCTGTGCTCTGGTGATTCGAGATGAGTTCGCCCACTCCCAAGGCACTCTCCAGGAGCTTGGAGTGAGGGGATCTAAAGGTCCATGGGGTACAGGCTTGTTTCCCAACCTGGCAGTACTGGCTATTGGGAGGCACTGGGCCCTTTACGAGGTGGGGCCTGGAGGGAGGTATTTAGGTCACTAAGAGTCATGTCCTCAAAGGGCATGTGGGGCCCTGGGTCCTTCCTTCCTCTTTCTTTTCTGGGCCATGAAGTGAGTGGTCTTCCTCTGCCCCATTCTCCTGCCATAATGCCCTGCTTTACCCAAAGCACAGGAGCCAACCCATCACAGGCTGAAACCTCTAACACCATAAGACAAAGCAAACTTGTTCTGTTAATAAGTTGATGATCTCACGGTTATTTGTGATAGTAACAGAAAGCTGATGAACAGTGGGCATGGCAGACGAGGAGGTCCTGGAAGCAGAAGTACTCGTGGAGAATGCCGAGAAATTCCTGAACCAGCCCCAGGCACTGTCATCCCACTGTCCCAACAGCTCAGCATTCTGCCCCCACAACTGCTGCTTGGTAAAGGCCACTACCACATCACTCGTGGGTCAGGAGCCAGGCCACACCACCAAGAACCTGTGCATAGCTGGGTCTGAGCACAGACCCAGGCCACCTGGACTTTCAACCAATGTTTGCCGAATGAATAAACCAGGCCAGGAGTCTCTGCCGTGCTGCAGCCCGTGACATCATAATGAGACCCCTGCGCAGGAGAGGCTTTTGACCTATTTGAAGAATTCACATTGGTCCGCCTCGCTAGGACCTATTATAAGATCTTAACATCATTTGAAATTCCTGAAGGTTTTTATACACTGACGACTGCTATGATTCCAACGGAGATAAAACTTTAGAAAAATATCACCCAAACATGCCGGAGACATATGACTAATGCCACACAGCTGAGTGTCCGTCTGGTCCACGGCATCATCCTCGTCTAGTCACATTTGGAAGAGCCGTGGGCAGGCTGCGAGACCACAGGACAGACAGGCTCAGCCTTGCTCTGCAGC